AGCCTTCCCTGTGTGGGGGGAGTCCCTGTGGCCTCACGGCACCCCCACCGTTGCTGAGGGTCACCGTGGCCCCGAGCTCTCCCCAAAGCCAGAGCCTCCGGGCGCCGCCCCAGCCGTCTCTGCCTCTGTCCCTGCGGGTCTCTGGCGCGTCCCCTGGGCTAGGGCGGTGGGCGTGACGGCTCAGGGCTCCCGGCCCAGGCCCGTGGCTGCTGTGGCCACGGGCTCCCTGCTGGGTAGACTGGGACTCACGGGTGGCGTTTTGTCTCTCGCAGGTGACCTGCCTGCACACTCTGGGCTACCCGCCGGCCCAGGCGCAGGGGCTGCACGTGACCAGCGTGTCCTGGAACACCACCGGCTCCGTGGTGGCCTGTGCCTACGGCCGGTGCGCGGGCGGGTGTCTGGCAGGGAAGCTCCTCGGGCTCCTGGGCGCGCTGGCACCGGCTGGCAGACAGGGAGGGGCCGGTGCCCAGGACTTGCTTCGCCTGCCTTCCCCTCTGCCTTCCTCCTTGCCTCATGCCATGAGCTGCTCCCTGATGTGGCCAAGGGGTCCCCCTACCCTGGCATGGCGTCGGCCCGTCCTTGGCTCCCGGGGCCCCTGTCCTGGGGGTGGTGCCCTGGCAGAGCTTGCTGCTTAGGCCTGCGTGGGCCCGGGGGCGGAGGTGGGTCAGGAGCGGGCGGAGCGAGGCCTGTGCCTCCTGTGCAGGCTGGATGACGGGGACTGGAGCACCCTCAAGTCCTTCGTGTGCGCCTGGAACCTGGACCGGCGCGGCCTGCACCCCCGGCAGCCTTCGGCGGTGGTGGAGGTGCCCAGCGCCGTCATGTGCCTGGCCTTCCACCCCACGCAGCCGTCCCACATCGCAGGTCAGTGGCCGGTCTGCAGAGGGGCCGGACTGCACTGGGCCTTCAGCCCTGGCCCGGTAGGTGCTGAGGGCCCCAAGCCAGGTGCCGGCCAGGCAGAGCGGCGGCCGGCCAGGAGGGGGCAGCACAGGGCAGGCTGGGCACGGGAGGTGCTGTGCTGTGGGGGGGGGGGCAGGAGGAGGACGGGTGCAGGGCTGCAGAGCCCCTTGGCCCGGCAGCGGCCTCAGGACCGCCGCCTGGGGCCGGTCCTCAGGGAGCTGTCTCTGGACCCCTCCGGGGCCGCGGGCAGGTGCTGGGTGGGAGCGGGCTGCTGGGCGGGTCTGCCCTGCTCAGCCCTCCGTCCCGCAGGGGGCCTGTACAGCGGCGAGGTGCTGGTGTGGGACACCGGCCGTCCCGAGGACCCGCTGCTCTGGCGCACAGGACTGACCGACGACACGCACACGGATCCAGTGTGCCAGGTCAGAGCCTGGGGTGGGGGCGGCTGGCCCCCGCTCCTTGGCAGGCCCCAGCTGGCCGTTGGGCCTGCCACTGGGGCAGGGCAGGGCAGGGCAGGGCAGGAGAGAAGGCAGCCAGTTGGCACTGCCCTGGGGAGTGCGGGTGGCCGGGCGGCTGCTTTGCCTTCTCGGCTCCCAGGGCGTGAGTCACCTAGGGCCCAGCCCACCCCAGCCTCCTTTGAGCTGCGGGGGGGCCCGGGGGACCCTCCAGTTGTGCCCCGAGAACGAGTCTGGCCCCTAGGCCTCCCCTGAATTGTCCCCTGGTGTCCTGGGGGGGGGCACCTGGCTTTGTTGGACCCCTTGGCCTTGCGCTCCTCCCAGGTGCTGTGGCTGGCGGCGCCCCGGCACGGACACCGCTTCCAGCTGCTGAGCGTGGCCACCGACGGCAAGGTGCTGCTTTGGCAGGGGGCCGGGGCTGGCCGGCTGCACCTCACGGGGGGCTTCGCCCTGGCGGTGCAGCAGCTCCCGCGCAACACCAAGCTCAAGAAGGTGCGTGGGGCTGAGGCCGCGGCCAGCCCGGGTGGACGGGCAGGCCTGCGGGGGCCACTGAGCTGGACCTGGGGTGGGCTCTAAGGGTCCGGTGTCCACTGGCGCCCACGACTGCCCGTGACTCCACAGCCCCTCCGCGGGGAGACCCAGGTGGGCGCCACGGCGGTGGCCTTCTCCAGCTTCGACCCCAGCGTCTTTGTCGTGGGCACGGAAGGTGGCTTCCCGCTCAAGTGCTCCCTGGCAGCGGAGGAGGCCGCCCTCACCCGGCTGCCCAGCTCTGTGCCCCTGAGGGCCCCTGCGCAGTTCAGCTTCTCCCCCCACGGGGGGCCCATCTACTCCGTGAGCTGCTCCCCCTTCCACAGGTAGGCAAGGCCCTGGCCTGGGGCCGGGCCACCGTTGGCACGGTGGCACCAGCAGAGGGGAGGGCCGTGCCGCGGAGCCGCCCAGGTTGCCCCACGAGCCCTGGTCCTGCGGGGCCCGGGCCGAGGACTGGCCCCAGGTTTCGGGGTGGGGCGGCGTCTGGCGGAGCCTCGGCCGCCCCACGGGCACTCAGGCCCCGGCTCTCCCCGCTCGCCGTAGGAACCTCTTCCTGAGCGCGGGCACCGACGGCCACGTGCGCCTGTACTCCATGCTGCAGGCCCAGCCCCTGACCTCCCTGCAGCTGTCCCGCAAGTACCTGTTCGCTGTGCGCTGGTCCCCCGTGCGCCCGCTCGTGTTCGCCGCCGCCTCTGGAGAAGGTAGGACATGGCCCCTGGGCGCCGGCCTGCGGGTGACGGGCCCAGCCTTCCCGGAGCCGCCCGGGGAGCGCCAGGCCGGCCTCTGACCCACGCCTGTCCCTGAAGGGGACGTGCAGCTGTTTGACCTCCAGCGGAGCGCCCAGAGGCCCACGGTCTCCGTCCGGCAGACCCAGGACGAGAGCCCGGTCTACTGTCTGGAGTTTAACGGCCAGCAGCCCCAGCTCCTGGCGGCCGGCGACGCCGAGGGCGCGGTGAGGGTGTGGCAGCTGAGCTCCGAGCTCACGGAGCAGGGGGCCCGCGAGGTGGAGGCCCTGGACCGGCTGGCGGCCGAGGTGGCCACCTGAGGCCGGGGGCGCGGCCGCGCTGTGTGTGTGGAGCTGAATGAAGTGAAGACAAGCTTTTGGGGAGCATCATTTATTTGTCTTATACATGGAAACAAAGTTGGGGGGCGGGGGTGGGAACGCTCAGGTTTCCGCGAAGCCGGACGGCGCGCTGGCTCCACCGGGGGCGCCCACAGCTGCGGGGCCGCGGCGACTGGACGGGGCGGCGGGCGGCGCCATCTTACCCAGAGCGAAGCAGGTTCAGGGGCGCGGGGGGCACAGCGACATGCAGCGAGCGGCGGGGCCGGGCTCAGTTCACGAAGAGCGAGCGGGTGAACTCCACGTAGTCGAAGGCGGTGGGGAGCTCGCGGCCCTTGCCGTCCACGTAGAGCTTCATGTGGGACACGCAGTAGTCGGCTTGTTCCCGCGTCAGGTTCTGGGGCGAGGCGAGGCGGCAGCGTCACCGGCCGCCCCAGCGCGCCCTAGCGCGCCCCAGCGCGCCGCCCACGCGGGGGAGAGGGCACGCGCCGCACCTGGTACAGCTCCTCTTTGGTCACGTAGGGCTTGCCCTCGGCGCTCAGGGCCCGGAAGGCGCTCTCGATCTCCTCGCTGGACTTGACGTTCTCCGTCTCGCGGCTGATCATGAAAGCCATGTACTCCTGCAGGGAGACGTGGCCGTCCCTGGGGGGAGGCGGGCGCCGTGAAGGGGCAGCTGGGTGCGGAGGGGCCCCAGGGCTGCCCCGAAGCTCACCTGTTCGGGTCCACGGTGTCCAGGATGGCCTCGAACTCGGGGTCGGGCTCCCCCTCTTCCACCATGGGCAGGTCGTAGCCCAGCGAGCGCAGGCAGGACTTGAACTCCTGGTGGTTCAGGCGGCCGGACTTGTCCTTGTCGAAGTGTCTGTGGCGCAAGCCGGGCAGCTCAGCAGCCGGCCCGTGGCTGCCGCCTCCCCGGGGAGGGCCTGGGCACTTACTTGAACATCATGCTGAACTCCTTGAGGGCCTCCTCGGTCACCCCCGTCGTGTTCCTGCGAGGGAGGACAGTCAGCGCCGCCTCCCGCCCCACAGCAGGCCCGTCCCGCCGGGCCCCGGGCCCACCTGGCCTGGATCTGCTGCTCCAGGTTGTGCTGCATGCGCATGCCCAGCTGGTCCAGCTGGTCCCACTGCTGGGCCAGGCCCACGGTGCTGTGCTCCGTGTACTTGTTGTCCAGGATCAGGGCTTCCTCCATGGCGGCGCCCAGATCCTCAATCTTCTTGAGCTGACTTCTCATGGCCCGGATCTCTTGGTGCTTGCGCTGTGGGAGAAGGCAAAGGGGTGTGGGGCCCGGCTCTCGCCTGGGCGCCTGCGGGCGACCTCGGTGCGGCCAGCCACAGAGCAGAAGGGGCGCCGACCCGCAGGGAGCACTACCCTGGACAGAGGAGCCCCAAACTCGGCGGCCACAGAGCCAGGCGACGGGGCGGGGACCCTGGAGCCGACGCGAGGGGACCCCGCCAGCCACCTCTGCCTGCCTCACGCACTCACCTTGGTGGCTTCCAGCTGGGATTCCAGGGTCCCGGACTCCTCCACCATGCAGGACCTAGACACAGACGCGCAGTGAGCGGACGGCCTGATGGCGGCAGGCCCCGAACCCGGAATACTGCGCTGTCAGGTAGACCGGTGCCGGGCGGCCTCCCGCTCCTTACAGAAGGGGTGCCGCCCACCAGCTCCCTCTAAGTGGCCATGGGAGCCAGGGAGGGCCTGGCAGCTGCGGCCCGAGGTGGCACAGCCCCGCTGACCCTGCTCCCAGGCCAGGACCCTTTGCCACGTGACTCCTCAGGCCCAGCGGGTGACATGTGCCTGAGCAAGCCTGGCCTGGGGGCAGGGGGCCTTAGGAGCCAGTGTCCGCTTCCCCAGGGAACAGAGAGGCTGGGGCCTGACTGCCCTCCGCAGGAGCCCCTGTGCCACCCGCCACCTGGGGGGGGGGCTGGGGGAGGCGAGGTGAGAGGTGCCGGCTGGCCCTGGAAACCCCTGGGTCTCCAGCAGGTTCCTGAGGAAGGAAGCCACATGCCAGCGTGACGGCCACTGGGAGGTACCCCGACGGGTGTGCTGAGAGCATGCCCCGACGGGTTTTGAGCATGGCTGCCGCTGTCCAGAGGGGGCCGTGGCTGTGCCTGACCCCGGATCCAGCCGCCAAGGAGCTAGCGACAGTCAGCGCCGCGCCCGTCGGGGCCCCGCAGGGCAGCCGGGCTCTGGAGCCCCCAGCCCCCGACACGACAGTGCGCGGTCACAGAAGGCACCAGTGAACGAAGACAACAGAGTTGGGGTTACGTGAAGGACAAGTCACACTGCGTGTGTCCACGGTGGGGTTCTGGCTCAGCCTCCCGGGAACCCCCATTTGCCCCAAACTACCCTTGGACAGCCAGCAAGCCAGGGTTAGCTATGCTGGCTCCCCAAGTTCAAGGTGCTCTGGCAAGGCAAGCACTGGGCTTCCTCCTACCCCCGCAGATCAGACTCACAGTCACGCCACGTCCCCAGGGAAAGCACCCCCGGGGCCTGGGGCAGGAGGCTGGGTGCAGGTGCAGTGGGAGGGGGACAGACCCCTCTTCCCAAGCGGCCGAGGGTGGTGGGTTAGTCAGAAAGCGGAGCCGCCTGGGGAAGTCAAGAGTGCATCGGTAAACCACAGTGAGGTAAGAGAGAAATAAGGAGAAGAACCTTCCAGACAGATCATCCCCAACTTCATATTGATAGACACGAATGACCCGACGATACGCTATGCTAGTCAGAGAAAAGAAACCAAATGAATACACCAGAGGCGGAGCGAGCACACGAGACAGACACACCACAGGCCCGGGCTGGCGGCGCGCAGGCGGGGACCTGGCGGACGTGGAGCCGTGGCCACCCGCCGGGACGGGCAGCCTGGGGTCAGCGCGTGCTGGACAGGGCTGGGGAGGAAGCACACGGCGGGAGCATGGCGCCTCCCGGAGACAGAGACGAGACCCAGGCTGGGGGCGCGGGAGGGGTGGGGACGCCAGGGTGGCTCAGGCGGGAAGCTGCGGTCCCCGGGTCCCGCCAGCGTGGCCGGCTGTGGCAACAGCCTTCTCCCGCTGCCCCCAGACCCCCATTTACCGGCCTGCAGAGGCTCGGGAGGGCGCGCCTCAGCCACGGCTGCCCCGCCCCGGCCCGAGGTGGGCCTGGGAGAGTGCTGAGGTGGCAGCCTGGACAGCGGCCCGGGCCTGGCGCAGGGCAGGCAGCCCTACTCCTCGGGCTCCTCCCGAGCCCTGTCGGCATCACTTGGCAGCCCTGGCACCTCTGCTTTCTGTAAGGGCAAAGCATACCTGCCTCCCCCCGCCAGGGGAGGCCCCTAAACACTGGCTTCCTGCTTCCTGCGTGTGGTCCCAGAGGACACTGGGAAGGCAGAGGCCGGGGAGCCCGGCAGCATCCGGCCGTGGAGCAAGCACGGTGGAGGCCCTGGCTCTGGCCTCTGGCGTGACCACACCCCTGACCTGAGGGCGCCCCTGGGATGGGAACAAGGTGGGAGTGGCTCCCCTCCCCAGACTGCAGGCTGTTCTGGGGGAGCAGCAGCAGCGGGGGGCAGGAAGCCCATCCTAGGATCCTCGGCAAGCCAGACCACGGGGGCCGGGGCGGAGGAAAAGCACACGAGACACCACACCACGGGCCCGAGAAATAAGACGATATTAACCCATCGAGGAGATACGTTCTGCGGTGAGGTCAGCCAGGCCGGGGGCGTCCCGTAGAGGCGGCGGCGGCGGGGGCAGGGGCAAGAGAGAACAAACAGGACATCAGCCACGTTGCCGGGCGGGCGGGCGGCTGTCAGGTGCAGCGCCCGGCCCCGCCCTCCCTCGTCCGGCCCCAGCCGGAGCAGGCGGCACCTGGTCTCCTGGATCCACTGGTGGAAGGCGTTGGCGTGCTGGGCGAACTCCTGCCGCAGCTTGTCGTTCTCCTCCTGCCGCCGCTGCTCCTTCTGCAGCTCCAGCTCCCGCTCCTGGGGCCCAGGAGGCAGCGCCCGTCACCCTTGGCCCACCCCGGGGCAGGTGCGGGCGCCACCTCGGGAACTGACCCGCGGCCGGAACGCGGGAGGGGCAGGCGGTTCTCTGAAGTCCAACAGGACGAGAACTGCACTAGATCGGGGACGGCGGGGCGGGGTGGGGGCCGCCAGACAGGCTCTGGGGCGCCCCCCATGGCCGCTGCTCCAGACCGGCCAGGCAAGGAGGGAGGGGCTGGCGGGCCAGGTGTGGGTGGGGGAAGGGCACCTTGATGATCTTCTGTAGGTTCCTCCAGGTCTCCTCCAGCGCCTCCATGGTGAACCAGGTGTAGGGGTTGGAGGCCACGCGGAAGCTCTTGATCTGGCGATCCAGCTCGGCCAGCTGGTTGAAGTCAGCCTGGGCCGAGCTGAGGGAGGCGCGGAAGGCGTCATGGGCCTCGCGCAGGGCTTTGATCTCCTCCAGGGAGTTGCAGCGCACGGGGTCTGTCAGATCCTCCTCTGCATTCTCAAACCAGCTGTTGAAGGCCGAGGCCTTCTTGGCAAAGGTCAGGAAGAGGTCCTCCACCTGCACACAGAGGGGCAGGGGGCCGCTGCGAGGCCTGGGCAGGAGGGGGCAGCACGGGTGTGGCTGGGCTCCCTGTCTGCTCCTCCCTCGCCGTCTGCGAGCCCCTCCGTCCTCTCCCCATCCCAGGGGCCTCGGAAGGCCCCCCAAAGGCCAGGGCATTCTCTGTGGCCCCAGTGGCCTCCGGGCCGCATCAGATCCAGCGCCGAGAGAACGCAGAACGCAGCCGAGTCGGCGCGCCGGCCTGCGGGCCGCCCTCACCTTGCGGAAGTGACTCTGGGCCTCCAGCAGCTTCTTTTTCCGGGTGGCTGAGTTGGCTAGAAGCTGGCTCCATCTCTTCATGAGGGAGGCATGCCGGGCCTCGATGGCCTTGGACTGAATGTGCTTGGCGGCCAGCAGCTGGTCTTTGAGGGCAGTGATGTTGGCAATGCCCTCCTGCTGGAAGGCCTGCAGGCCGGCATCAAAGGTTTCCTGGAACAAAGAGCGAGAAGCGATCTGCAGCCTGAACTCTGGCTGCCTCAGCTCAGATGGTACCAGCATCT